GCGGGGCAGCGCTGGGGCTGGGGCGGGGTCCGCAGTGGGACGGGGTCCGTATTAGGATGGGGTCCGTGCAGGGACGGGGTCCGTGCAGGGACGGGGTCCACAGTGGGACAGGGTCCGTGCAGGGACGGGGTCCGTACTGCAACTGGGGTCCATACTGGGACGGGGTCTGTACTGTGACTGGGGTCTGTGCTGGGACAGGGTCCACACTGGGGCGGGGTCCATATTAGGATGGGGTCCACAGTGGGACAGGGTCCATACTGGGACTGGGGTCCACAGTGGGACGGGGTCTGTACTGCGACTGGGGTCCGTGCTGGGACAGGGTCTGTACTAGGATGGGGTCCATATTAGGATGGGGTCCACAGTGGGACAGGGTCCATACAGGGGCAGGGTCTGCACTGGGACCGGGGTCCATACTGGGACGGGGTCCACGCTGGGACAGGGTCCACGCTGGGACCGGGGTGAGCCCGCAGCAGGGCTGCACCAGGACCGCGCTGGGACTCCGGGGAGGCTGCACACGTGCGTACTGAGCCCCCGGGAGGGCTGTGCTGGGACGGCGTTGGGCACATACTGGGATGGGGCACTGGGAGGACCCGTTTCCCCTTCGGGATGACCGTGCTCCAGTCAGGGGACACGTTGAGGCCTAAGGCACACACGTTATTCCCTTTGTAAGCACGCTGCACCCCAAACCTGCCCCAGCTCCGTGGATCCCTGCTCCCAGGGACCGCTGCCGCTTCACCCGCCAACGTTCTCCTCTCCTTCAGCCCAGCCAGGTAAACCTGGCCCGGCTCTTCTAAAAATAAAGCACAAAAGGATCTGTAAGCGACAGGGTGACAGCACTGGGCCTGGGATCCGTTGGGACCTGCCCCGGGTGAAGCCTTCCAGGGAGGGAGGCACCGAGCTCCATCCCACCTCCGGACACTTCTCACAGCCGTGAGCCCAGCGCTCAATTTTCTCCCTTGAACAGCAAAGAACTGGGGGTGGGGGGTGGTGTTAGACCCAAGACCCCCCTCAAAGCCAGTAAGGCGCTGGGTAAATCGCCAAAGGACCGAGGGAAAGAAGCTCATTAAAGTCGGCAACAACTCAACCTACTTCCAGATTTTTCTGGCAGCCCGAGCCCTGCCGGTCCTCCCCACTGAAGTGGAAGGCCGCGATAACGGTTGTTTTGTACCAGATATACACACGCAGAGTCTGTTACAACATTTATCGGTAACATTGAGATAGAAACGGGCTGGCAAGGCTCCACCACAAGCTATTTCTAGTGGGAAATCTTCCTGCCG